AGAGAGAGAGAGAGAGAGAGAGAGAGAGAGAGAGAGAGAGAGAGAGAGAGAGAGAGAGAGGTTCACTAGTGCGGGCCAGAAGGACAACAAACAGCACCGGTGGACACTGATATGGCACGCAGTAGTGAACCACTTGTGTGTCGTGAGGCAAAAAGCAGCTAACATTTTGGACATAAATTTACTCTAAGCACAAAGTAATAATACAGGCAACACTTAAACACACATCATAGTGTGTGTGTGTGTGTATGTGTGTGTGTGCGTGAGAGAGAGAGAGAGAGAGAGAGAGAGAGAGAGAGAGAGAGAGAGAGAGAGAGAGAGAGAGGGAGGTTGAGAGAGAGAAAGAGAGAGAGAGAGGTTCACTACTGCGGGTCAGAACTCCAACAAACATCTCATGCGAGACAGGCATTGGCCCGCAGTAGTGAACCTCATGCTGTTGGACAGAGAAAGACGCAGCGACAGAGAGCAGTTCACTACTGCGGGTCAGAACGACAACAAGCAGCACCGGTTGACACAGATATGGCACGCAGTAGTGAACCACAAGTAGTTGGAAACGCAAAGACGCAGCACGACCGAGAGGTTCACTATTGCGGGTCAGAACTCCAACAAATATCTCATGCGAGACAGGCATTGGCCCGCAGTAGTGAACCTCATGTTGTTGGACAGGGAAAGACGCAGCGACAGAGAGCGGTTTACTACTGCGGACCAGAACGACAACAAACAGCACTGGTTGACACTGATATGGCACGCAGTAGTGAACCACAAGTAGTTGGAAACACAAAGACGCAGCACGACCGAGAGGTTCACTACTGAGGGCCAGAACTCCAACAAATATCTCATGCGAGACAGGCATTGGCCCGCAGTAGTGCACCTCATGCTGTTGGACAGGGAAAGACGCAGCAACAGAGAGCGGTTGACTACTGCGGGCCAGAACGACAACAAACAGCACCGGTTGACACTGATATGGCACGTAGTAGTGAACCACAAGTAGTTGGAAACGCAAAGACGCAGCAACACCGAGAGGTTCACTACTGCGGGTCAGAACTCCAACAAACATCTCATGCGAGACAGATATTTGGCCCGCAGTAGTGAACCTTATGCTGTTGGAAAGGGAAAGACGCATCGACAGATGGCGGTTCACAAGTGCAGGCCAGAACGACAATAAACAGCAGCGGTGGACAGTGACATGGCACGCAGTAGTGAACCACAACTATGTCAATACGGGAAAAGGCTGCGAACATTATAGACAGAAAAGTGTAGACGAAGAAGTTGTAATACAGGCAGCAATAAACATACATAATTGTATGTGTGTGTATGTGTGTGTGTGTGTGTGTGTGTGTGTGTGTGTGTGTGTGTGTGTGAGAGAGAGAGAGAGAGAGAGAGAGAGATCACTTGTCCCTGACTACCCGCGCAGCCACGATTTGACATCTTGTGTAGAGAGTTTTTAAGCGGTCGTTGATGTGAAGTCCTTTGCTGCAATGCTCACATTCGTTATTCCGTCCATGCTGGCCTGCGTTCGTTACGACCTGTACCATTATCTCTTTGATGTACGATTACAGATGGAACAGACAGTTCACAACCAGCCTCGCCATTTGTCGCGAATTCGTTTTTGCAACGAACTTTTGAAATGTGTCCGTCGTCATAGGCAGCGCAACAGATTCTGCATCAGCACAAGGTGCTTTGCTAGCGACGACACATGGGAAGTTGTGACGAACGTGGTGACAATTCAGTGTGGCAACATCGGTGCACGCCAGCACGGCATGCGGCGCAGGTGCGCAGTCCCCGACAGTGGTCCCAATTCCTGTGGAGATTTGCATTGTTGTGTCGATTTTTTCACCTGCCTTCGTCCTTTCACCTTCTGCACTTCCCATGACAACTTCGTTTGCACAAGTCACCGTCATTTCGCCATCCAACAACCTACCTCGTGTGTGTTGTAGGGCATCAATGACGTCCGAGCAACTGTTCAACAGAGACGTCATATAACAAGGAAGGTCATCCTTACCAATCACGACACCCTCATCACAGAGAGCGTACTCGTGTACGGTTTCCTTATAGTGGCGAATACAGTCTGCTGCGAAGGCCAAGAGGTCGAAGACACTGCGTGACGAAGCAGTTAGCGAACCCGTATTATATTCTTGGCTATCATACGATGCCCACCCCTCCTTCAGCACACACTTCTTAGGGCTGCCACAAGATGCGACATCAAGTCCTTGTGATTCCCTGTGAGTTCTCTTTGTGACGTGGGCGGCGAACCGATTCAAGACAGCGGTGCGCCTGCGTCTTTCACCATCCAACCATGTCTGGAACTCGTCAAACGTGGTGGTCTTCGTTTCAGCTATTGCCTTCAGTCTAGCAATCATGTCCTCCCTCAGACGAGTTATGTCTAAACACTTTGGATCGTCTAGCAACAACCAGAACACAGTGAACATCCTGTGTTCCGCAGTTTCTGTCATTTCTACGAGCAGTGACTTAATATGGCCTAGTTCGTCTGACATCTGTCTCGCCAATTGTTTCTGCTTATGTACCTCGTCTGTTAGCCTGTCTATATGTTCCAAACTATCTCACCCCAGTTCCGGTCCATCTCAGTCGTCTTCCTTTTTTTGGTCCCCAGTAGTAGAAAGTGATCCGCCGTTGCATCACACTCTTCGACTGTGCACTTTCTCTCATGTCCGGTTTTGGCCAATCTTGACATCTGGAAATATATGTACATACAGAGAAATAGAGAGAGAGAGAGAGAGGCAGAGACAGACCCTCACTACTTTCATACTTGTTGTCAGCGGGCGCCTACCAAAGATTGGCTATATGTACGTGGCAACATACATTGGTATTTATTACTGTACATCTGCATTTCCCCCGTACATGACTCGATATAACAGTGGACAACACAACTTAACAAATACAAAGCAGACCATTATTTTCAAACGCATCTGTCGGAATGAGGGAGTGAGAGAGACAGAGACGCAAGAAAGAAAGAATGGAGAGAGAGAGAGAGAAAGAGAGAGAGAGAGAGAAAGAGAGAGAGAGAGAGAGACACCACAAACAAAGAAAGAAAGAACCGACCGACAAAACTAAAATGCAGGCCAAAATCACACTTATGTACCTCGTTCAATGGGGTCGTGGCCCGCAGTAGTGAACTCTCTCTTTCTCTCTC